TTGCATGATAGTACATTAGTAAAAGGAAAATTTTATTAAATCTGACACCAATGATTAATATCAGATTTATTATTTTATGAAACACTGGAATTTGTAATATATAAATTAGGAAGCATAACTACATATATGTGCACACACACAAAAAAATGGAGACCATATACAACCACATGGACTTTTTTCAAAATTGATTCCTTAAAGATTTTATTTTCTGCATGATCTTAGTATTATTGTTATTTGGGTGATGCAATTTATTTGGTAATTAATTCTTAATAAATTTATGAACAACAATATCAAATGTATTGTGTAATCATTGTAAGGACATGATACAATACATAGAGACAAAAGATATGTTGTGTAAAAGAGGAGGCCTGGCACAGATGACAATTTACTGGGTTTTGTATACTATTTTTTTATATCATTTATATCTACAAGACCATGTAGGCATCAATTTTATATTAATTTTGATATCATTAGGTATAACACATTGCTATGTGGTGTGATTCATGTTTCAGGCCACATAGAACTGAAATAAAATTCAATTCACAAATAGACAGAGAACAAAGCAAAAACAGTCTGCATAGCAAAGAGAGCAGTTGTTATCAAAACCATAAAAATGTAAAAATTAATAAAATTTTCAAATTAAAGATATCTGCAATCTATAAAAATGTTCACATATATTACTAAACTTTTAGCTATGCACTTATATCTCTTAATTATAGTAGGGACCTGTTTGAAGCTATTGCTCTAGTAGATATCAGAGAAGAAATTAAGTATGTAATAACACCCAGAGTTAACTATGCCAAAAAAACAAGGGCTAAGGCCATTTCATCTGTGAAATATGCTAAAAATAAGGGGAAAAGGTAGCAGACTCGAGAAGGCATATCATCCCAAAATACAATGAATTAAAGTGCTGTAATTATAACCCTGAGAGTAAGTATTATACCACTGCTAAGATTAGAAATTTTATAAAAGAAATAGAAGAAATCAAAGCCAAAAGTATCCAAGGTAACCAAACCAAGCAATGGGCCAGGGAGAGCAAAGCTGAGATATATAAAAGGCATGAAAGTGGTAAGTATCCTGCCAACCCAAAATGAGATTTACAAAAACCAATCATAACAATTATGTTGAACAAGAGAATATGAGAAAGGAAGGAAGTCAGGTATGTATAATGATACAAAAATATGGAAACATATAGATATGCAAGATCCAAAAGATTTTGATAATATTGGCATTGAACTTGAGAGCCATGGAATTCAAATCAAGTTTCAAATTCATTCTCAGATAGTATTTTAACTAATTCATCTAGTGATATTTCAATATCAAAAGTCTTTTAAGACTCCATCTTGGGATGTGGTGCACTGACAATAGAAAGAACTCTTTCAATATTCTTTTGTGTCAATCCAAAGATAAATTGATCTCCCCTATATTGAAATGATTTATTAATCTCTCATAGTAAGTATATAGATTCACCATCTTTTTGTTTACAAATATTGAACTCATGTATAGCTCTATTATGACAATCTTCACAGAAAAGCATATTTTTTAATGTTAAATTTTAAGTCTTACTAAGTCAATATATTGAAAGCCTTCTAATAGAATCAATGGGATCAGCTCTAAAGATAATTTCACACAGAAGTGTATAAAAATTACTAACAAGAATAGAATCAAGCTTAGAAATATCAACACTGAAATGAGAAAGCAATATTATGATCAGGGCTGGAAATAGTACTTTAAAAATCCGGATTTTCCTTTTAAAATTTTTAACTTCTGGAAAAAAAAAGAGTTGCTGGATATTTTTCCTTTTTATTTTTAATTCGTGTTCCACGAATAAAGGAAAGAACTTAATTAGTGCCAATCGGGGCAAAAAATTTTATTTTCATATTAAAATTAATTTGGTTGATTTTTTCGCCCCCACAAAAAGTCATGCATTTATTATGTTACATATATTATCTTTTATATCCAACTATGTTAAACAAATGTGAAATATTATATTTACTTATGAAAATATGAGCTGTTAAATTTGTCAATTCCCTATTATTTAACCAGTGGTCCTGGATTATGGTATAAAATTCTTATTTTTTACATTTATAAATTATTGGAAAACATAAGAATGTGTCAAAAAATAAATATAAAACATTTTAGTATCAACAAGGTTAAAAAATAACTTTAAAACTCAAAATGTTGAATTTCTCCATAACAAAGCCTTGATCTTTTTATAAAATAATTTCGGGATGCAATTATAGTAAGCAAGAATGAATTTTTAGAATGTCATTGATTTTTATTTTGGTTTTCTTCTAAAATTTTCTGTGCCATTGATTTTTTATGAGAAGCAGCAAAACGACTTATCCATCCTTCAATTGTTTTGATTGTTGGCAACTCTTCGGATGTAAGTTCACCAAGTTTTACACACTCTTCCAATTCTTCTAACATATCTTTTGCAGAAAATCATTGACTTCTACCATATTACCAGAAAGAAAATATATTTGCAGGTATTCCTTGACTTTATCACCAATTTGTTTTCCGCCCCCTTTTTTTCCATAAATTTGATTTTCAACTCTATTGGCAAAGTAACATAGTTAGTGTCAGTAAACTTGTTTTTTTAAGGTGAGTTCCAAGGAAAAAATAATTTTATTTTTTAAATGATTCTTACAAGCACCAAAAGACCAATATATGCATTAGTCATTGTGGATAAACTTCCATTGTAACTGGAACACTCCAATAATGTTCCAAGGATGACATGTGACATAGATAATAAATCATCCTTTTCCAAGCATTTTTTACAAATAATATGAAATTTTTTTTTAATTTAACCAATAGTAATTTTTTATTGAATTTGTTACAAATTTTCAATGATACATTTAAGTTCATAATATGCTAATTCATTGCAATGTCTATGCATGGTCTTCCATGGCTCACTTTTAAATATATTTTCCCAATATTTACAAACTGAATTTGTGTCATCAATGTTTAAAAAAGTTTCATTTAAATTTGACTGATTTACAAGTAAATAAAGAGACTGAATTAATGTATGAAGGTCATCCTTTGGATGAGCATCTATGGGTTTTCCATAACTGTTTAGCACACATTCAGAAACTAAAACCAATGGTGCACCTCCATAAAAATCTATCTGGAAAGAAAAAAATCTTTTTTTAATATATCAATGAACTCCATCTATTTAAAAGCTAACTTTGAGATACTTACCCCTCCTATAAAAGCACTTGAGCCAAAATCTGCTAAAATAATATCATTACTGCTATTAACTAATCAATTAATTCTTGTTTAATTTCTTTTGTTGTCATTTTTTTTTTAGAATTAAAAAAAAATTTTTTTTTATTGATTTAGATCATAATTGTTACAATTAATTGTTTCTATAAATAATTTGGATCAATGATAAATTAGTGGGCACATGACTTGCAATTAAAAAAATTTTTTTTTACGGACAAATGAGTTAAACGACAAGAAAATTATTTTTATTTTAATTCAACTAATAATAGAAAAATATATAAATAAATAATTTATAAAAATATAAGTTAAAGAATTGTCAGAGCACTTGCATGGGAGGAAAATACTCGGACCCAAAGCCATTTGTAAGTATTACCTATTCTTTGGGCACAGACAAAAATTATTACTAACTGCTATTATTACTTCTAGGATTGGTTTTATTGTGGAAGCAGCAACTCCTTTTCCATATCCTAGTAATTGGCGAATTTCAATGACCATTTCATTAAATAAAAATCGGGATTCAACCCAGTATTTTTGTCAAATAATTGTTTGAAATCCTTCCATAGATTTTCTATTTCTTGTGAATATTGTTCATCATTAGTAAGTTGGTTTGTTTTATTTTTAAATTGTTTCCTTCTTGGTTCTATTTTATCGATTTTTTGATTTATAATAGATTTGATTTTTGTAAGTTTTATAGTAAAGAAACCAAGCAAGAGTCCAATTAACAATCCGCAAACAAGTTCACAGTTTAAAGTAGGCATTTTTGTGAATAAAAAAAATGTAAAAAAAAGAAATATAAATAGATGTTTGGTTATTTTGAAAAGTTTAAATTTTTAATGTCGCGCGTAATCATGCTTAATCACATGAGGGACGGTCATTCATCATTGAATAGGCACACCTTGCCAAAAGCAGCACTCGGGAAACAAATCTTAAGGACAAGGGCTTAATCTCAGCAGATCGTAACACA